GTCAGCGGACTTCTGCTCGTCTCGTCGTCGGACTTCTGCTCGTCGACGAACTTTCATCGGTCTTCTACCCGACACAGTACTTCTACCCGACATCAGACTTCTACTTGTCGTCGAACTTCTGCTCGTTAGCGGACTTCTACTCGTCGCCAGACTTCTGCTCGTCGACGAACTTTCATCGGTCTTCTACCCGACGTCAGACTTCTCCCTATCGTCGAACTTCTACTCGTCAGCGGACTTCTGCTCGTCAACGAACTTTCGTCGGTCTTATACCTGACGTCGGACTTCTCCTTGTCGTCGGACTTCTGCTTGTCAGCGGACTTCTACTCGTCGTCGGACTTCTGCTCGTCGACAAACTTTCGTCGGTCTTCTACCCGACACAGTACTTCTATTCGACGTCGGACTTCTACTTGTCATCGGACTTCTGCTCGTCAGCGGACTTCTACTCGTCGTCAGACTTCTGCTCGTCGACGAACTTTCGTCGGTCTTCTACCTGACATCGAACTTCTCCTTCTGCTCGTCAGCGGACTTCTACTCGTCGTCGGACTTCTGCTCGTCGATGAACTTTCATCGGTCTTCTGCCCGATGCCGTACTTCTACATGATGTCGGACTTCTCCCTGTCGTCGGACTTATGCTCGTCAGGGGGCTTCTACTCGTCGTCGGACTTCTACTCGTCGACGAACTTTCGTCGGTCTTCTACCCGACAGTACTTCTACCCGACGTCCGACTTCTCCACATTGTCGGACTTCTGCTCGTCAGCGGACTTCTATTCGTCGTCGAACTTCTGCTCGTCGATGAACTTTCATCGGTCTTCTGCCCGATGTCGTACTTCTACTTGATGTCGGACTTCTCCCGGTCGTCGGATTTCTGCTCGTCAGCGGACTTCTACTCGTCGTCAGACTTCTGCTCATCGACGAACTTTCGTTAGTCTTCTACTCGACAGTACTTCTAGTCAACGTCAGACTTCTCCATGTCGTCGGACTTCTACTTGTCGTCGGACTTCTGCTCGTCAGTGGACTTCTACTCGTCGTCGGACTTCTGCTCGTCGATGAACTTTCATCGGTCTTCTGCTCGATGTCGTACTTCTACCTGACGTCGGATTTCTCCTTGTCGTCGGACTTCTGCTCGTCAGCGGACTTCTACTCGTCGTAGACTTCTGCTCGTCGATGAACTTTCATCGGTCTTCTGTCTGATGCCGTACTTCTACCCGACGTCGGACTTCTCCCTATCGTTGGACTTTTGCTCGTCAACGGACTTCTACTCGTCGTCGGACTTATGTTCGTCGATGAACTTTTATCGGTCTTCTGCCCGAGGTCGTACTTCTTCCCAATGTCGGACTTCTACCCGTCGTCGAACCTTCATCTGGTTTCTGCCCGTTGTCAGACTTCTGTCCAACGTCAAGCTTCTTCCCGTTATCGGAATATTGCCTAGCAGAAGTTTCATCGGATTTCTGCCCGACACAGAGCTTCCTCCCGTCATTGAACTTCTACACGATGCCGGAATTTTCCCCGTCGTCAGACTTTCGTTGGGAATCTGCCCAACGCAGAGCTTCCTACCCATCGTCGGACTTCTGCCCGTCGATGGACGTTTGCCGTGCTTTCACTGGACGTCAAAATTATACTCGACGCCAAATTTCTACTCTTCGTCGGACTTCTGTCCGTCGTAAGACTCCTACCAGACGCTGTATTTCTGCCCGTCAACCATCCTTTTAACATCCCTCCTTACAAAGGTCTCTTCAGACTTCCTTGCAAAGAGAGGGGCCTTGGAGAACCAAGGGAAAGCCTCAATTGTAAGAATAGAGGGAGAATGGCGAATCTCCGTACTTCCTTGCAAAGAGAGGGGCCTTGGAAGACCAAGGGAAAGCCTCAATTGTAAGAATAGAGGGAGAATGGCGAATCTCCGGACTTTCTTGCAAAGAGAGGGGCCTTGGAAGACCAAGGGAAAGCCTCAATTGTAAGAATAGAGGTAGAAGGGGGGATCTCCGGACTTCCTTGCAAAGAGATGGGCCTTGGAGAACCAAGGAAAAGCCTCAATTGTAAGAATAGAGGGAGAAGGGCGAATATCCGGACTTCCTTGCAAAGAGAGGGGCCTTGGAGGACCAAGGGAAAGCCTCAATTGTAAGGACAGAGGGAGAGGAGAAGGTGCAAGATTTTCATACCCCTTAAGGGAGTATTTATAGTAGAAAAGAGGAGAAGTTGGAGCAGCCAAAAATAAAATAAATAAATAAATAGATATGGGCAATTTCTGAAACCGCCCCTTAGAAGCGGTTGAGCGCTTTCATATGGCGGTTTAAAAAAAAATTATAACCGGTCATCTGTAACACAGCCGCATGCCGCAGAAGGATACCTCTTTCCAATGCTCGACGGGATGGGCCTTCCCGTTGTTAGTCCATAAAGCAGCTCATCATGATTTATTTATAAGCATAAAGCCAGTGCCATCCATTATTAAGGCTTATATTTTATTATTAATTTCTTGAAGTGATGGATGCTCTCTAATTTTTTATTTGATAGTAATATCTTGCTGCATATGCCATAATGGATAAGAAAGTGTTGTACATAAAAATATGTAGTTAATCTTAACTCTGATGGCATTCAGAAATATTTTAGTAGTTTAGTATGAAATTGCCGTGTAAGTTGAGAGAAGTTGGCCCTATTTTGTTTAGCTGTTGGCAGATTAAAATTAACACCTGGTTATCTATTTTATAAATTTGCTTGAGCATTTATATTGGTGGTTGTTTCGACCGCCAAATTGTCGTCCGAGTCAGATTTTTTGGGCAAGATAATTTGAAGCGGATGTTTTTTTAATATTCGGGATCATTTTTTAACATTTTGGAACAAATTTGTGACACATATTTTCGGACTTCTGGAACTTCGAAGTCCGAAAATAGGGGGGCAACTGATATGTCGCCAAAAAATTATCTTGATCGGACACGAATCTCGAGGCAAAAATCAAGATGGGAACTTCAAAAATTAGATCCGAGAGCACCCGAACTCCGATTTCAGCAAGCTTAAAGTGAAACTGAGCGTCTAGGAAATACGAACCCAACGACACCAAATTCAACTCGATCCGAGTCCAAATGGGTCCGAATCATGTACCCAAAGCGCTGTTGTAAGGTTCAAACTGCAATTTGAGATACCAAACGATCTCCGATTTTAACGAGCTTATACTCGAATCGAACGGCTCGACGAGACGAATCCAACGAGCCCAAGATCGCCGAATTCCGACATCTCTAAGACCTTCAAATGTCCAACGAACGGTGCACGATCGTAGGATTCGATATCGGCCGTCCATTCGACCACTCCCTATTCGCCCCTGATCTCACTCCTATTTACGAGATATGCCACTCCAGAAAATCTATAAATAGAGCCCTCATTCTTCACAAGAGGAGGGGGGTCCAAGCAAGAAGCAAGAAGAGAAGGAAGAGAAGGAAGAAGCTCCTCCTCGACCACCACCGAAACCTTGCCGGACCACCGTAGGAGCCTCACCGGGCCACCACCAGAGCCTCGCCGGACCACCGCCGGAGTTTTGCCCCACCACCATATCAAGGCCCGACGTTCAGGCCTGACGTCTTCATCTGAGGCCGTCATCTTCTCCAGAGGCCCTCACCTTCGCCAGAGGCCCTCACTTTTACCAGCGGCCTTCACCTTCGCCAAAGGCCCTCACCTTTGCCAGAGGCCCTTGTCTTCGTCAGATCATCATCAAAGGCCGTGTGCTCCACCAGAACATCACATGAGGCCCAGACTTCCGCCGGACCACTACTTGAGGCCTTGAGCTCCACCAGGCCACCACCTGATGCCCACAGTTCTCCCAGAATACTGCCGACTACGATCCTTTCGACCTCCGTAGCCTACTGTGGTCCTTCCGACCTCCATCAACAAACAACGGTCTTTCTGACCCCGGTCTCCTGCCGACTACGGTCCTTTCGACCTTCGTCGCCTACTGCGGTCCGTCCGACCTCCATCACTAGACAACGGTCTTTCTGACCCCGGTCTCCTGCCGACTACGGTCCTTCCGACCAAATAAACATGTATATGTAACTCCTACCATGTGATGCAATCTATATGATGTATATTTGCTACATCAATACAAGGCCTTCTCCAAAGGAAGGGCCTCATTTGTAATCGACTGCAATTACTAGTGGATTCATTCAAACTGGGCCAGGACCCGTGGTTTTTCCCCATTTTCAGGGGTTTTCCATGTAAAAACTCTGGTGTCTCTTATGAATGTTTCACCCCCTCTCTTATCTTCTTGTGTGCTGGATCTTCGTACAATACTAAGATGTTAAACCATGTATTTCTCTACTGCCGCGAATATTCCAGGACACAACAAACATGATAATGATCTTTTCTCTTATTGAACAGGGAAGAGAAAAGTGAGTCATATTGAAGATGATGATGATATGGCAGATGATGATGATATGGCATTCATAGATACAATTAGAGAAAAAGATTCCCTTGAAGACCCATTTAGTGATGGGATATGATTGCATTTTATATGTTCTTTGTAGTTTGTACTTTGTACTTTGGGAGTTTTGTTGAACTAATATTTTGTGATTTTGTACTTTGGGACATGATTTTATTGAATCTATTTTGTTACTTTCCACTATTTTCATATATCATTTAGATGTTTTTATTGTAAGATAGAATATTGCTCTTATTATCCTGCTAAAACCCTTAATTTCTTATTTACGCAATTCTGTGTCCGTGAGGCTTACGCCTCAGACCGCCTCGAGGCTTAATTACGCAATTTTAAACCTTGATGCAAACAAAGAACTAAAGAAGCAAATGACCATGTAATAATCACGCTGCATGTTTGCAAGATTTGGTTTCTCACATAATGTGAAAACCATAGAGAAAATGAACCTCGATGATAATGATGTCACAAAATCAATTGTTAGGGTAGGAATTGAGACGCTACATTGAATTTTCATTCAATAATTTATTGAAATGAAAAGCAAAAACAAATAAACTTCTCCAAAGATAGAAGAAATATAAAGACGTACTCCCATCAGGCTTGTTAACAAACATTCGTGCCTTTGCTGCAGCTACTTCTGCAATGCCTGCATGCAACTGAAATAACAAATGCTAAAGTGTATTTCTCAACACTAGAGGAATCAAACAAAATTGGTGACAAATACCGCGGACACATCTTCATCACAGCCAGATGAATCCTCTACAAGCTTACCAAAGTAGAACCTTCCCTGGAAAAAGATGTAGCTAATATTTTGAAAGATTTTAACACAATAATGCATGTCAATCATATTGCTAAAAAAGAACACTAACCCAAGTTTTAGCATGTAATTTATGGTAAACATATTCAAGATATATTGAAGGTAAAAAATGATCAATTAGAAAATAAGCCATCCATAGCGCAAAAAGGTATCAATATGACAAGAACCTACATATATTATACGTTCATTTACTTCAAATACTCCACAGCCATGCATTCGGCTATGCTTCCATTGGCCTGCATATCGATATCGACCTTTCTCCCTGTTAGAGAAACCTAAATAACAGTTAAAAAAATGACAAAATTTAAGAAACTAAAGATGAAAACCAATAACAGCTGTAAATAAATCATATAGCTCGTCCATGCATTCAAGGCCAAGGTTTACAAAATAACTACATTTTAAAGCTGTAATCAAAGTTTATTGGATTGAACGCAGTCAAAATTTTAATGCTTCATATTCATGCATGCATTACATGCATATTTATATTACTTCTTTAATACAAAAGGAAGCAAAGTAGAATGTATCTAGGTATGCTTGTAAAAAAGTGAAGAAAAGTAAAATAGAATGTATCTAGGTTGGCTTGTAAAAATAAATATAAAGTGTCATTATATACGTAGAATGTATATAGATTTAGTTGTAAATATTTAAATGTACTTGCTTACGTATATGTGTATAGGGTTCCAAAAGATAATCCCTCCTCTGGAAGGCATTCCCGTTTGGAATTTTATAAAAAATCTGGTGTCAAAAGACTGGAGAAGTATAATAAGCAATTATATTTAAATCCACATTATTTAGGAAGTAGAAATCCGAGCTTTTTTGTTGGTGGAGCCTGGCCACCTTAAATTCTTGTAGACCATGAGTTGTACTATGATGAAATTATAAATGAATAAAAATGCTTTATTTATACATTATTGTTCATGCATCATTCGCATTGCACAATTAATTCTGTAAGCATATTGTGGACCATTTGATTAAAGTTTTTTGAACCATACCTCCTTGATTCTTAGAACAAAGCCACCCTATCTTGCATGCGTAAATTGATTGTTTCCTAGGATGTTAGCTGGCAGTCCACTCTAGTTAAGCATAAGCTCATATTACACTTACTCCTTCTGCACATTTTTCCTATTATCTTCAAATTCAATATCTAAATTCAACTTAGAGATTAATAATCTGAAGTCTATACATTGAAATTTTTATAACCCAAGTATTTTATTAAATTTATATGAATTTTAAAATTCTTTAGTCTTCATTTTAATCGAGAGTATACTCTTAAGAGATGTAATAACCATAGAGACTTGCCCTTATAAGAGATTTATAACCCAAAATTAAAATAAACCCTATCTTAGTTCTTTTCTAAGATAGGGAAAGAATCTAAGAATGCAGACTTGCCTTTTAAATATGCATAATTTAATTTCATAAATCGAAACATATACCAATTTGGTGAATTGAATATCCCTAATATTGTATTGAATTATGAAAATAAATGTCTTAATTTACTTTCCTAATAGGGGCGATAGATGAATATTCTCTTCATCCTTTAGACGAATTGCATATTCTCTATGATGTGTCCGATTATGAAAATAAATGTAGTTTCTCTTTTTAAATCCATAGTAGAATATTAGTTTATCATTCGGAATAGTATAATGTTAAATTATACATATTTGAATAAAAGAAACTAATTAATATATTTAAAAGTGAAAACATTTCACCTGGAGCTATGAAAAAATGCCCGGATTATCTCCAAACATAGCAATTCACAAGTTGGTGATTCAATCGAAAATTGTTCCAATAAGACAAGCGCATCAACGAATACAACTCGACATTGAGCAACAAGTTATGGTTGAGGTCAAGAAGTTAATCGATGCTGGCATTAAAAGTCTTGAAAGAGACGACCATTTAATTGACTTGAGAATTGTTTTCCAAAGAATTCATCGATATAATTTAAAAATGAATCCTTTGAAGTGTGCTTTTGGAGTCATTTTAGGAACATTTTTTGGTTTCATGGTTTGACACCATGGAATCAAAATTGATCTGAATAAAATCAAAGCAATAATAGAAATGCCACCACCTAAAAGCCTCGTCCAATTGAGATCTTTTCAAGGTAGATTAGTGTGCCTTAGGAGATTCAAATCAAACCTTTCAGGCAGATATCAATTGTTTGTAGTATTGTGCAAGAAAGACGATAGACGAGAATTGTCATAAAGTGTTCGACAATATAAAGCAATATTTCACAAATCCTTCAGTTTTAGCTGCTCCCATACCAAGGAAGCAATTGATCCTATATATGATAGCTTTAAGTGAATCTCTTGGCGGCTTATTAGCTCAAGCTAATGAGAAAGGAAAATAGAACGCACTTTACTATCTGAGTAGACATTTACTTCCCACCAAAGTAAATTATCCTCTGATCAAGAAGTATTGTTTAGCCTTGATATTTGCCACTTAGAAATTGAGGCACTACATGCTTTCTCACAAAGTAAAATAGATATCCAGAATAAACCCACAACAGTATCTAATAACTTGTCCAACGCTATCAGGAAGATTAGAATGTTGTTCGATGATTCCATCGTAGTTTGATATTACATTCATTCCTTTGCGAGCAGTGAAAGGACAAGTTATAGAAGATTTCCTAGCAGCTCACCAAATGTTGAATGACTGTCCGATAAATGATGAACTACTAGAAGAATAAATCACGAAACTCAAGTCAAATAAGAAGTTCATCTGGGAATTTTATTTTGACAGTATTTTTTCCCGTCACCAAGGAACATCAGCATGTAAACAAAAAGCAAACAAATTGAATGTCAACCACTTCTAGTAATTACAATAGCATGTAGCCATCAACTATCCTTGATGGCTATATGCAACTTCTTTATAAGCATAGTTGATATGAATAATGATGTCACCTTAATCTCTCATTACCATTGCTATTGTTCCAAGGTTCTACAGTAAAAGAATGTATCGTAATACTATATCTTCATAATTATGTCCCACCAATATGCACCAATTAGACCACCATACTCCAACTACAGAATGTAGGCAATGCAAAATAAAATAAAATAAAACTTACGGCTTTTTGCCAAAAACCTTGACCCATTCATCATTTTCATAGAACGGAATTTCCCTGTTACCACCAACCAGGTGGAGGGTATCTTCTATGTCCATTTCTAACCATCTTCTATCTTCTGGTGTCATAAAATCTCTAGTTATGATCCTACCTTCTTCACGCATTTTGGCTTCCAGACTGCAAATAATGAAAAAATATCAAGTATATTGTGAGAATAGACAACAGCATTAAATTCACAATATTTTGTGCGGAATTTATGTTTCAAATTTATAAATAAGCACGGGTGAACAAATATTTCTCGGACATACACTGATCCCGGCACAGGTTGCACATCAGGAATATCAACTTCTACAACGCCATGGCCCTCCATTTCATTTCGAAGCCACTCTCCTTCATACCTGAGTTAAATAGTCAGTGGCTCACAAAAATAAAGCATTTTAATTAATTAGACAAAAGAAAAATATCCAAAAAAAATACATGGAGCATTTTGGTAATTTGTCAACAAATCATAATTCATACACAACTTCTAAGTAGATCACTCTTTCACAAGCATTTGATCATCATCGGGACACCTCTGGGTAACTTATAAATCATAACGTCAGATGAGATGTAAAAGGGTGTCATTTATCCATTAAGGTACCTAAGATGGTCATCAAAGAAAAAGAAAAATACAAAGATTGCTTTCTTAACCAACTTTGGTGAAAGAGTGGTTTAGGAGCAGAGTGTATGAGAAACTTGCTCAGAGTACTTATCTTAATTGACTAAACATTTTTTCCCAATCAAATGCACAAAATTAGATAAAAGGAATAGAGAGACGAACGTCAGATTAAAACATAAAAAAAATCCAAAAAGAGAGAAACAACAAAGCTTTGCTCTGTTGCAGTACTTTCATAATTTAGAATGAAATACAAAGGATCATCCATCCCAGATAAGTTGGAGAAAATATCATTACAATGTTGTAGAATTATCTCTCAATGATATTAAGAAGATGCCGATGGTTGCAAGTTGAGCTGCAGTCAGTGTAGTAATAGCAACAATGGTTACCAGATCATTATCTTTGGCAGCTGATAATAGAGGGAATGAGGGCCGTGGAGAACCAAAGGAGCAACAATGCAAGTTTAATTGTGGTGGCAACGCTGGACCAAATGGGCTGGCAAAGCTGGACCTCGGTGTTGGTCAGGTAGGCAGCAAGTAATGAGCGCTGATGATGTGGAGTCATCAGAGGATCTACAAAGAGAAAGGCACACTCTTGCTTGTGGTAGAATGCAAGGTTGGTAAAAGCCTTTGATGTGCATGGGGACTGGATAGGGTTTGGTGTTGTGGAGTTGGAGGTATTGTTCAAGAGTTATATAAATTCAGAGAATTGTTTTGTGGAATTATGAGATGAAGGATTTGGGCATGTGTGTTTAGGGCATGTGGGAAAAGTATGAAAGCTTGTGGAGGAGTTTGGGTGACTTAGAGCTTGTGAAAAAGGGAAAAACTCGAGAGCAACAAAGTTAGGGTTTTGAATATAACAGAGGTGCTCGTTCGCTAGGGATGCTAAAGGTTTTTTATGGATTGTTGGGAAAGGAGTAGAGAATCTTGGGTTACAGTTTGAGTGTAGGCTAAGAGGTAGAGGGAGAGAGGAAATAAAACAATAGTACAAGTGAAAACTTTAAAAAGATCCCAAGGCTCAATCCACCAATCCTTTCCAAATATTTACAACCAGGCAAACAAACATAAATTATATAAATACATTATATTTCTCTAGAGAACTTACATGGTCTCTTTACAAAGTATATATATATATATATATGAAATGGAGTGGTTCCAAATTGCATGCAATCTTTTTGTCCTTTTATTAGAGTTGTCTTTTATAAGAGTTGCCGAACACACACTATTGAAGAGGGAATTGAATTCATTTCCACCACATGTTGCTCGTTCATGAAATAAAAGGATTGGCATGCACAATTGGAAGGTGCAGTCCTGTCTTGAAGCACATGTTGGAAAGCTTAAGGGGCCAGCCAAGCTTTGATCATGATCCTGTTCTTTGAGTTTAATGATGATGATTTTCAAAGTTAATGTAATGCTCTAGTTTGCGAAATAGTCATTGGTTTGAATACATGCGTAGGCACTGTGTCAAGTCCACAAAATCATAAAAAAACTCTACTACACAAAGTTGAACTCAAGATAGTCATCCACAAGATTAGGAAAGAGGTGTTCAAGATACTCCTTAGACATCCATGTGTCTACAAAAGGATGCTAGTTCTTCCACCAGACAAAGAATATACGTGGAGTGTATGTAGTTGCTAGAATTTCATCTAATATAATGATTTATGCTTGGGGAAATTTGGGTGGAAAGGCAACTCCTTGATTCTTGGTTGGGTGACTTATATCAACCCTAATTCAGTGAGGAGGTTGTTTTCTTGTTATTTCTTTATTTTGCTAGACTTCTTTTACTCAACCGCTTCTCCACATACTCATTTAAGTCCTCTAGATCTTTTCTCTAAGTTCCAACACTTCTCTCCCTTTTTTCTTTCCAAGTTAAGACAATTAGTTAAAATCTATCTCAATCCAACTAGCTTTCCTTTATTCAAGTCCGCACACAAAAACTTTCGTATCACAATCCCAAACAAATGTGGCATCCTTTTTCGACATCATAAGATATTCATCGAATATCTACACCCATCAATCAAACCAGCTTGCCTTTCTCCAACTCCACACAAATTTTCACATCATTACCCCAAACAACTCTGGCAACCTTTTTTTCACCATTTTTGGATACTCGTAGAATATCTACACTCATCACATCTCCCTAGATAAATCCCCCTTAAATTCTACATAAGATTAGCCACCCGAAAATAATCTCAAAATTCACTATCCCTTAATACATTCATCAAGCAATACTAGTCCCACATAAACTTTATTTCTTTCTTCAATTCTCTATCACTCTCATGAAGAAAAACTTTTCTAAGCAAATCATAAACAAGTCCCTTTACTCCACTGTACTAAATAGAGTTCTTCCTATAATGAGGCAAATTTGATAATTGTGACCTCGGGAAAAAATTTATGGCATGATATATCTCTCATGGGAGACAACTCATCAGGCACCTCACTAAGGAAAATATCTAAAAATTTGTTCATAAGATCTTAAGACCAAAGAAGGCATGTAAAACTTTGCAAACAAAGGAGTGAGTTTGATGAGGACATCGTCAGAGATTTCGATACATGTACCATCAGGAGACGCCGGAGATCAACGGCCACGATCATGAGTTTTATTTTGAGTCATTTTATGTAGTAGTTTATTTGATTTTTATGTTTTTCCGTTTTTTCCCTTATGGGTATTTGGTCGTTATTGTAGCCTGAGGGGCATTTTAGTCTTTTGTTTTCTTGTCATTTTGAGGCCTATTTATATGGCCTTTTTCTTATGTAATAGTTAGTTTTGATGAATGAAAAGAATGACATTTCTTGTTCTCTTTGTGAGTGCAAACCTCCTCGATCTCTTAGTGAGTTCGTAGGAGAAGCTAGATCTCTTTGTGAGTTATAGGTTCTTTCTAGTTCTACTATTTTCCTTTATTTCTCTTGATCAATTCATCGTTGTGGAGATTCGGGTTGAAGCACTTGTGAGAAATTGGAATTCGCTCCTTGAATTCCTATATTTTTTCCATACTTCTTCCTCCCCTTGCTCTTGCCGCCGCCTCCTCCTCCAAACAACCCCAAGCCGCCGGCCTCTTGGCACCCTACCTCCATCTTCCGCCGGCCAGATCAACCACAGCCGGCCAACCAGCCGCCGGCCTCCCTCCAGCCAGCCTCCAGCCGGCCAGCCCAGCCTGAATTTTATTTCAGATTTCCGGCATTTGCCTCTTAGCCCCCACCATAGCCGTCAAGGAAGAAAGGATAAGACGTTGGATGCTCACTAGTCATCCCATGGACTACCCGCCACCGGCTACTGCTCCAACGGACTACGCTTTTGTGCACCATTTGTCTCCTAGTGGCATCGCTCGGTTGCTCTCAATCTTCCTCCATTAAAAGTGCCACCAACAAGAGAGTGAGTGAGAGAACCAAGGTGAAGAGTTCTATTTGTTAATTGTGGATTATTGTTTCTCCCCATAGCATTACTCTTTATTTCTATGTTGCCAATTTGATATTGTCCCGTTAATCTAGTTATAACCGCATGCCTTAATTTATTTCGAATTGATAATTCTGAAAACCTAACTTGGGTAAGCATTAATTCTATAACTAGCAAAGCTTTAAAATCTTATATTAAAATCCCCAAGCAGTTCTTGTTTCCATTGCATGTTGTATCACATCATCTTGGTATCAGAGCATGGCTAGCATGCTTCACATGTGCTAGATGCATCCTAGGAATTTAATTTAACTTCCCTTAGCTTGTTTACATGCATACCATCGTATTACATGTTTGCATCACTGTTTTATTTTGCTGTCCACTGTTTTCCTGCACTCATTTAGTGGGTTTTAAGTTAGCATTTCTTGTACTTAATTGCCGTCCAAACTCTAGACACTTAACCCAACACCTAACGCAATTATTCCAGCCTTGTAGTGTGCTGTCCAGAAAATTTCTGCAACATTTAGAGAGCTTTAGGTGACCCCAACCTAGTGTTTAAGTGCTGTCCTCACCCTAGAAGTTAACCTAAATGCTCGGACAACTTCTCCCATTGCTGTAATTTGCTGTCCACTCAAAAACTGCACCGTTTAGAGGCGTTAGAAGCTTGTCTTCTTCGAGTTTAGGTGCTGTCCTTAACTTTACCACCATCCTAATTGCCTAGATTTATTAAACCACCTTTGTAGCTTGCTGCCCATTATTTTCCTGCACTTTATAGGAAGTCATAATTATGTTTCCTCCTCGTAGAGTATTGCCCCATACACCCAATCTTCTTTAGGTATCACTTAGCGCTGTTCAATGGACCCGATAAGGCTCTAAAAGAGTTTAGATGACATCGTTAACCTAGTGGGCAATATGACTAGAATTATGACGGAGAAATCTATTGACTATCCCACTCTAGGTACGTGCCCCAGTCGGTCAATCATGCTAGTCGGAGGATGTCCCACTCGACTTATCATCCTAGACATGATCCTAGGCAACCACGACCTCACTTAGAGTCACCTTATCGTTTACCCACCTTTGATGGTTCCTCGAACCCTTACTACTTTAGGGAACGGGTTAGACGATTAGAGGACTATTTCGAAACACGACATATCTCCGAGTCCCACCAGGTTAGCATCGCTAAGTCTCACCTTAAAGGTCGAGCTCTTCAATTCTGGATGAAATTGGAAGATCATAAGAAGTCTCGCGGTGAGTACCCTACTTGGAAAGACATGAGGCGAGATCTAAATTTAAAATACCGACCCTCTACCAGTGCCCGCCATCTAGAGCCCCACCCTACCTATTCTGTTGGAACAAACCATGGACATTACTGTAGTCGAGACCACCCATCCTTTAGTAACGTCAGGGTTGCTGTCCCACCCTGTAGGTCTTCTCTTAGTCTTGATGACCGACCCTTTAGCGGGTCTTCTGTTGGACAAATCTCTTATGACTCCCCACGTGGACTAACTTCTGGCCAGTTCAGTCAACCTTTAGCCTCCCCAGCCTTTAACCCTACACGTGTCATCTTAGTAAAGAATTGCAGTAAAAAGAAGAAATCTACTGAACCCGAGACTGAATACACCCATTTCGTGGATACTATCGATAACGAAGAATTCTTTGAGGATGAAACTAAAGAGATTGGATCAGACTCCCAGGCAAATACTTGAACCCTGAGCTAGGAAGTTGGAACATTAAGCATCGACTCCTAGGATTTCTCACCTCCAACCTTGATTCCTAGTCTTCCATCAGCAGGATCATTTCTTTGGATCCCACACTATCCTTATTCCACCGGATCCTGCCGTGATTTCCCTCCTTTTGCCTGGACGATAGTAATATGATCTCGAAAGAAGCTCTTGACTCTGACGTGAAGCCACACCTGAAATTAAACTCGGAGATTCTAATCTAATTACTGAGACGACTCCCGAACTCTAATTTGGGTTAATTTTGAATAATTCTAGATGACAATGTGGATAATTTCAAATGGAAATGAGGAAATTTGAAGTTAATACCTAACTTAAACCTTGACCTTAAGTTACCCACAGTGACATTCAGGGTTCTTGATCAGGTTGGATAACCCCAACCTGATCCTTCTTTGAGGATAGTAATGCTGAGCTTGGAAGATAAGTAAATTTGAAATTGAGAAATGATTGATAGCTAAGTGGAACCACCTGGAACAATCTCTTTTGTCTTATTGAATTCTTTCAGGACAGATGCTCCTTTTAGAGGTGCATTTGACAGAGTATACTCTCTCTGATTGGACTTATATCAGCCGACCTTGTGTTAGAGAGAGTCGTACAAGCCATTTACTTCTCAGGTTCACTAATCTAATAGTTGTGCCCCAATTCTGTTAGGAAACCCTACTCCCCCCATCTCTGAAGTCCCTCTACCGCCCTAGTCACTCTCCTGACTATCCTAACTATAGTTAGTTAA